CACTCTGCAAAGTCAAATAGTATTGCATGCTTTTGTCTTATTACTCATTAGAGCTATGATTTATTTTTAACTACTTATAGCAAGTTGTTTGTAGATCTTTTCATTATTTATTGTGACCTATGGGGAGAGATGGTGCTTCATAATGCTAGGGACAATTTGGACAGACTTATAGACTGCTCCAAGAGAGCCATAACTGCACGACTGTTAGGCTTTGTGTCATCTCAAGCAAATCCAAAATGGCTCAACAGTTAGTTCTGCATTTGTAAGGACTTTTCATTTAATGATAAATTGAAATACTTTGGTTTTCCATCCTGTCTTCAGGCAGTGATCAATTGCCAAAATAAAAGTTCCCCCAGGGCAAAAATTCAGTTCTTTGATCAGTTGCTTTGTGTTTGGTACCTCTTAACACAGTTGTTCAGTGTGAAGCATTAGTGTAAAAGTTTATGTGCTGCAAAGAACATGCATGTATGAAATAGAGTAGATCTGGCAATGCAAGGTCTTTTCATCACAAAAATAGATTACTTTTAATCCAACTTCAGTTGTTCAGCCTCACTGTGTGTTCCTTGATCATTTTAGAGTGTTCAAAGACTTTCTTATGTCATTGCTTAAGAAAAACTGTTTAAGTGTTTAAACTATGTGGTCTGCAAGCTACATTTCTACAGGTGCCTAAAGAATGTGATCAGATGCCTTTGAGAGCTTTCTTTTTATTTTTGAAATAGCCTCTGAAACACGGGGCTTCTGATGATAGTTAATCTGCTGAGAGGGGTAAAGTCTGGCAATATATACCTGCCCCTGCATGAGAGGGTTCTAAGCAGTCAGCAAGGATTAAATTAAGGCTTTTAACTGAAACTTGGGAGGAAGATGGTTTCTTCTTATAAAGAGGAGAAATTCTAGACCTGTCCTGAAAATTTAAGCTCCCTTTGCTTGTGGATCCTTTAAGAATTGATGCGGGGGGAGAGGGGCCGGGGCAGGGAAAGAATTTAATCTTTAAGGCTTATGTAGATGTAAAAATTTACATTTAAAGTATTGCAGTTATACCAGTACACAATTCTTTCCCTTGGTGAACAGTCCTTTTTTCTCTGTGTGTGTGTGTTGGAAGGAATTTAGAGTAAATTGAAAAGGTAGCCTCCTTTTGAAGCAAGAGAGCTAAAGTCAGTCAGTGAACTTGAATGATTTTTTTTTTTTTTTTGTGCCTGTATAGTTGTATTGATAGTGCTTGTTCTGTACAGAAATGTCTTATAGTTGAATTTAGGAGATGAAATTTGTGCTTGAATTTGGGAAGTGTGTGCTTTAAATATGACCATGCCAGAATTCTCTCTGAAATTTTTATGCATTCAACTAATTCTTAACTGTTCAGGAAGCATCCTGGCTTCATTGACTGAAAGGCAGAGTTGAAAATTGTCCCTCAGGACTCTGGGATGCATCTCATCAGGTCCCATAGACTTACAGATGTTTGAGATACTCGGGTGGTCACAAACCTGACTGTGGGATGGATTTTTCTTCCCCAGTCCCTGTCTTGTGGTCCATGCACTCAAGAGGTATGGGAAGAGAGGTTGCCAAGTAAGACTGAGGTGAAAAAGTTGTGAGTACCTCAGACTTCTCCTCATCTGTTGTTACCAGTCTCACTCATCAGTGGGGGTACGGTTTCTTTAACCATCCTTTTCTGGCTGACAAACCTGTAGAAGCCCTTCTTATTATGCTTTGTATCCCTCGCCAAGTTCAGCTCCAGCTGTGCCTTTGCCTTCCTGACCCCATCCCTACACAATCAGACAGTGTCCCTATACTATTCCTAGGATACATGTCCCTGCTTTCACTGCCTATTTATTTCCCTCTTGCTCTTTAGTTTGACCAGCATGGCTCAATTCAGCCATGCCAGTCTCTTGCCTTCCTTTCCTGATTTCTTACACCTGGGTGTCAAGAACTCTTGTGCTTATGGAAAGTGTCCTTAAAGATCTGCCAGCTCTGTTCTGCTCCCTTGTCCCTGAGGGCAGTTTCCAAGGGGGTCCTGTTGACTAACTCCTTGAAGAACTGGAAGTTTGCTTCCTCTGCTCTGGTGAGACTTCACCTAGAGTACTGCGTCCAGCTCTGGAGCCCTCAGCACAAGAAGGACATGGAAGTGTTGGAGCGGGTCCAGAGGAGGGCCACAAAAATGATGCGAGGGCTGGAGCACCTCTCCTAGGAGGACAGGCTGAGGGAGTTGGGCTTGTTCAGCCTGGATAAGAGAAGGCTGCGGGGAGACCTGATTGCGGCCTTTCAATACCTAAAGGGGGCCTATAGGAAAGAGGGGGAAAATCTTTTTAGTAGGGCCAGCTGTGACAGGACAATGGATAATGGCTTTAAACTAAACCAGGGTAGGTTTAGACTAGATATAAGGAAGAAATTCTTTACAATGAGGGTGGTGAAACACTGGAACAGGTTGCCCAGAGAGGTAGTGGAGGCCCCATGCCTGGAAGCATTCAAGGCCAGGTTGGATGGGGCTCTGAGCAACCTGATCTAGTTAGCGGTGTCCCTGCTCACTGCAGGGGGGTTGGACTAGATGACCTCTAGGGGTCCCTTCCAACCCAAAACATTCTATGATTCCTGAAATTCAGGGTCCTGACTTTACTCTTTGCCTGACCCGTATTCTTCAGTGCAGGATGACTGCAGCCCAGGCTGCCTCCAGTCCTGACATCACTGATTAGCTCACTTGAGTTGGTGACTGACAGGTCCAGTATTGCAACCCCAGAAGGTAGAGCTGTCTATTGCCTGGCTTGAGAAGTTATCCTCAATGCATTCCAGGAGTCTCCTGGATTGCCTATAGCTTGTCATACTACTTTTCCAGCAAATGTCAGGGAGGTTGAAGGTCCCCAGCAGGATAAGAGCCTGTGAGTGCAATGTCTGCTGTACATGGAGTACGAAGGCTTTGTCAAAATGCTCCCCTTGATCGGCTGCCTGTAATAGACACCAACTAAACGGTTCCCTTTATTGCCTCCATCTCTGATTCTTACCCGTAAGCTTTCAACCTGCTCATGGCTATTCTTCAGAGACAGCTATTCACACTCTATCCATTTCTTGATGTAGAGGGCAACGCCTTCCTCCTTCCTTGCCTGTCCCTTTTGAACAGCCTGTAGTTATTCAATAGCTGCACTCCAATCATGGGATTCATCCCACCAAGTTTTGGTAATGGCAACCAGGTTGTAGCTTTCTAGCAGCATGGTGGCTTCTAACTCCTCCTGTTTGTTGCACATGCTGCAGGCATTGTTGTAGAGGCACTTCAGCTGGGCTGTCAGCTGTGTCACCTTCTTAGAGGAACACCCCTTAATTCCTTTAATGTATTTCACTGATGTTTCCCTGTTGGCTTCTATTACCTCAGGAGCATCTGGCTCATCTCTGTAAGACTTCAGGTGTGCTGCAGTGTAGCCAGTACATCCCAGAGCAACAGGCTGAGGGCCCTCGTTAGCACCCTGTCCCTCTAACCTTGGCATGTCACCTCACAGCTTGTCACGAGCAAGCCTGGTGTTATCCCCCTCCCCTTCAAGTCTAGTTTAAAGCCCTGTTGATGAGCTGCCCTAGCTTGTGAGCAAGAACTTTGTTCTATTTCTGAGTTCAGAAACATCATAGTGTTATTGATGACTAAATCTTATTTCTCTATGTAATTTCTTCAAATAAGTTTATTGCTGTTTCAACAAACAATGAAAACTTCCATCCTACTCTTCTTTACTTTCTAAACAAGTTTTCCAATTAGTCCAGCATCTTTTCCCCAGCTTTCTCAGGTCAGTCTTGCATTCATATTCAATGAAAATCGTTATTGTGTCCTGTCACACAAAGAAGAGAAGAAAGGTGTGAGCTTCTTTTCTGAATTTCTTTTCCTTCCTTGCACAGGGTATGGTCTTAACTTTTCTGGACCTTTATAAACTCTTAGTCACTGTAGATGCATCACTCCGTCCTCTTTCATCCATTCATTAACATTTCAGTCTTAGTCTTTTGCTCTCTTAGTAAAGTGATATGCTTGCTTCTTGAGAGCTTGTCCAGGATAGTCTCCATAGCCTCCCAATGACCCTTTCTTTAAAACTCCTTTATTGTCATGCCCAAACCCCATTTAGTCAGGTTGCTGGGATATAACTCTTAAGTACCTATCAAACTAGCAAGTATTGTCTGGTTTGCTTCCTTCTGCCTCCTTTGTCATCTCTTACTGTGTTCTTTGATGGCAAGGTCCATAGAGTCAGGATTGTCTTAATTTTTTTTTTTTTTTTTTTTTAAATCACGCACAGCAGCATCTTGGGTTGTCACTGAGAACATTAGGACAATATTGACTAAGTAATCAATCATAGTTACAGCATTGCAGTGAGATTTTCTGTGGTGTATATTCTCGAGAGGGGTGGGAGTTAGAAATGTGTAGTAGAAGTGCCAGTTGAGCATTTCATCCCTTTGGAACTTACCACCTTACCAGGAAAAAGTGTTTTTTTTTTTAAAAAAAAAAAAAAAGCCAACAAAAAGCAACCACATTACAAATAAAAAATGCTCTTAGCTAATCTGAAGGGGCATTTGGCTGCCTTACAAAAACACTGTGTATTTTGGCAAAGTTAGGAGCTTTGGCTTAGGAAGATCCATGTTTGGAATAACAGGGTGTGTTGCAAGTCAAAATTCAGGTGTCTTGGCAGGGATGTATGCATAATCTGGCAGGATGCCTTTCTGCACTGTGCCTAGCTGTAGCAAGTGCTAAAGTCCCTTGTGAACAATATATGAATCTCATTTTGGAAAAGGAAAAAAAAAAAAAAAAGAGGAGGAGGGAAGAGGGAGCCAGGATTTATTTTAACATTTAGTGGATATAAAAAACAAGTATCAAGAAGCAAAACACTTCCGTGAAGCATTTGCTGTGAAAATTCTGCAACTTCTTGTTGCAAACCTCTTTATCGCTTGGATTGGCTGATTTCCAGAGCATCAAGGCTAGGAATTGAGGGACTGAAATATAATCAGTGGTGATACATTTTAACCACATAAAACATTCTCTGCTTCCAAAGCCTCCGGTGTCTCTAGTAAGCAGAGCAACAGCTCCTTGCTGCCGGACTCCAGAGACGGGCAAAATATTGGATCAGAATGGTAAGAAGCTCTCTCCTTTTCATCAGATCTAGATCATTACTTTAAAAAGGAATGTTTAGAAGATGATGATGAAATTAGTAGGGATCAGTATTTAAACTAAGAAAACAGTGTGTGTAAGATACTCTGGCATTATCAATGTCTTGCTGGAAGAGATCAGCAAAGCAAGTTGGTGACAAATATCTTTGGCACTGAACATATTGTGCAGCTTATATAAAATCTTTTAAAATTGGGAAACACTGCTGACTAGAATTTGATGTAAAATGTAAGCCTGTCTACTTGTTTTATTGAAGAAAGAGAGCTGCATGGGCTTTTAAAATAATTCTGCATTAATAACCACCAGCACAGACTTTATACACACAAATATAAATAAACCTGTGCTGATTGCTTATGCACGCTGTATGTTTATATGTATTCTTTTGTTGGATTTTTGTTAGGGGTTTGGGGTTTTGGTTTTTTTTTGTTTTGGGTTTTTTTGGGTTTGGGTTTTTGTTTTTTTTTTTTAAAGAAGCAGAGATGCTCAGTACCTTTGACTTTTAGGGAGCTATGAAGTTTTCATTTTTCTGGATTTTCAGTCCGTGAAGACTTACTAGTCACACTGTGTTTCTCTAGTGTAATTGTTTGGTGGGAAAAATAACCAAGGAAAACTTTTTAGGATAGTGATTTTATTCTTTGTAACAATTTCAATATTCTGATATTAAAATAATAGACATAGAATATAAAAAACATAAATATAAAATCTGAAATTATTTTAGATTGATACCAATGCTATTAGTAGTTTAAACAATGCCTGAAGATACAATAAAAATATTCTTATTAGCAGTTTTCTAGGTATTAAAGAATTGGAGGGGGAGATGCAAATCTTGGGAGTGTTTACTTCCAAGACTCGTCATCAAGACTGGTTCTTTTTAATTGAAATATGCATCTAGCCCAGTCTGCTCTATGGGAACTCAGCCATTCATTTTAAGTGCATACTAAGTCCAGGAATACATTGATTATGAAATTACAGTACATCAGGGTGAAAGGAAAACAAATTACTAAATAAGTCTGAAGAGTACTGAAATATGCTTACTTGACAGTCCAGCTGATGTGTGGGAAATTATTCTCTTTGTGATTCAAATGGAAGAGGAGATTTTTAGAAGAGCAACTATGGGAGCTTGAAAAGGGTACAGCAGATGTGAAACTCTGATTTGGTATTTTTTATCTTTCTTGTGTATTTGTTGTTGCTCAGCAGTATGAAAATTAAAATGCAAGAACTAAAACTATCACTGAGTGCTTTCTGATCCCTTCCTTTTTTAAGCGGTTTCACTTAGTGGCAAAAAATAAAATACTGAAGTACAGTAGATAGTAAATCATGCTATCTTAGCCTATATACTCCAGGTTATGACTGTAAACACACTTCGATGTGTTGAAGATTTATGTTTTCCTTCTGAACATGCAGCATAGATTACAAAATCAATAATTGAACAGCAACCAGGCTGTAAGCTTCTTGGAAAGATGTTTAGTACGAATCTAAGCATGGTGGTGGTGGTGATTGTTGTTGTTACTCTTTTCTTGACAGAAATGCCCAGTGATGAGTATCTATTAAATACTACTGTGGTACTGAAGAGACTTCAATGTATTGTTGTTTCTTGTCAGAAAAGAATGTGCTCATGTTAGTTATTTTCCTGTATCTAAATTTTGGTACAGGAAAACATTCAGGAGATACGGCAGCTTTTCCCTATTGTAAACACCGAACATAACCAATAACAAATGAGGTTATGTATATTTCCAGGTGTGTGATTCCTTAGTTCCTAAGTAAGTCAAATACAGATATGCTTCAGTAACAGCAAATTAAGGAAAACATTTCCTTCTAGAAACATAACATTCATGTACTGCCGTGTATTTACTCTTGATAAAGTTTAAGCCAAAGTAAACTTGCATTGTGTCCTTTTTGACATGGATTAGTTAGGTAATTGGTGCAGGCAGTTCACACAGAATCACAGAATGGCAAGTGTTGGAAGGGACCTCGGGAGATCACCTAGTTCAGCCCTCCTGCTAAAACAGGTACAAGGAATCTCTTTCTTTCAATTTGAATTGCCTGGGCAAAGGTCTTGCATATGTTGAAAGAAAAAAAAAAAAGGAAGGAAAAAAAAAAAGAACCACACCTCACCTACCCACCCCCCCCCAAATATGAACACTTAGTAGTAATCAGCTGTGTAATAAATGGCACAAAGGGAACAGTCTCTTACTTACAATTTTAAAATGATATGATTTCTTTCAGAATATTAATACTAAATGGTCTTAAAGAGGTCAGAATTGCAAACTGTCAAATGCTTTAGATACCCAGGTTTAATTATTTGACATTTTTTTTCTAATAAGTCTAAAGAACAACAGTAAAATTACCAGCCTTACTTGAAAAATTGAGAAGTTGTAAACATTACTATTTCAGTACTAAATTCTAATGAAGTATCATCTAGGATTAATGCAAGAGATGCTGGGTACGGCAAAGTTTAAGTGTCTTTCTGGTGCAAAATGTAAAAAAGCCTGCTTAACAATTGGATGCATTGTTCATCCAAATTAATTCAGGTTAAATACTTTTTTAATCCTAGTGACCAAATAGAAGTCTGATAATCTGCCTGAAAATGTAATCCTGTATATAAAGAGTTATAGTATAAATTATGTAGGGTTATGTAGTTTATATGTTTAGGGAAAGGAAAAATAGCTTTGTATCTGCCATGAAGTTGATTCAAGACTTAATAATATTCTCAGATTTTACTGGTTTTGTTTTTTGCTTTGTTCTGCCAATTTCTTGGCAAAAAATAGTTTGTTCATTCAGGAGTAACCATGCTGGCTCTCATAATACCACTGCTGACAAAGTATTGAAGGATTTAGTCAGATGAAATCTGATGCAGTACAGGTTTGGTGAAATCACAGGTTTTGTGTGTGTTTAGTACTAACTTTTATGCCTCACCTAACTTTTGGCACAGTTTTGTTCAGGTGATATGCCATAGCTGTGTGACAGGCTGTTTACCACATCAGTAAGTCTGTACAACACTCTAGAGTGAAATACACGCTTGCATGCTCCATAAATACTGTTTGTGAAGGACAAAGATAACCACTTTGACCTTTAATTGAAATGTAATGCTGAAATATCTTCAGGGATATATTAAGAGTTTACTCATAATGAAATAAGCTTGTGTTTTGAAATCTCTGCATCTTTGTTTGTGGAGCCTGAATACTTTCAGTGAACAAAATATGACAGCAAGCAAGGTTTATGCAAGGATTCCTAAACTGGAATAGTTTGTTGGTGGATTATTTTTTTTTAAGCCATTTTCCTTTTGATTCATTATCAATATACTCTGTAGATCAGGTTTTGCTCACTGCAATCCATCTTTTAAACTGTGCCATTACACTGGCAGTGCAACTTAAAATTAGTTGCTTGCTTTCGGGAAGCGATAAATTATTTGTTGTGGTTTACATAATGTATTATGTCTGCTGCATCTGTGTTCAGGAGGGTTTTATTCTTTCATCCATGTGATATACAAAGAAACTATTAAAAAGGAATGCTTTTAGCCTTAGTCTGGCCTTCTGGCTTTTACCCTGTCATGCCATCAAAAATGAAGGTTGGGGAAAATGAAGGCAGGGGAAAAGGTCAGCCTGGTCTCTAGGTGCAATAATTGATGGGAGTAGCTTCCTGAGAAATAGAGCTACAGTGAGAAGGTGGCTGGATAATATATATATATTTCTGCATCTGGTTAATGTTTGTATTGCAGCATTTGCAGTGTTTTGAAATATCGGGACAAAAAGTCTGTTGCCCGTATATCTTATGACTCCCATAGCAATGTGATATTTTGCTGCACGTAATTGTTCTTCTATTTCATGACCATACTGAGAATACTGAAAACAATTAAGGCTGAGACTTACTGTGGACCTTTTATGTAAAAAAGGTCTGGAGAAGACAAAAGGGTTCTGACAACTTTATACCCACTTGATAGTGTGCAGATATAAGAAGAGCCAGTTATGGAGTTGTGCCCTGAAGGATATGTTTCCAGTGCTTGTACAAGGAGTGTGCTTCAGTCAGAACTGAGGCTGTGCAATATGTGGTGGTGGGAGATGCGATGCACAGTTTGGCTGGATTTCCAGGCTTGCTCCACTACACAGAGTGGTGATGGGAAGCTACCATACCTAAAGGAATTCTTCAGATCTTGTACTTGAGCTTTCCGTCTACCGTAAATCTATTGTTAAGAAAACTTTAAGTAAGTTTTCCGATGGTGTCATGTCACTTGGGTATACAGCTGCATAGCCAGCGTCCTGTATCCCCTGATAGTGAATTGGACAACTCAGAGGTAAGCGCCGTCTACTCCCCTGGAACTGTGCCAGAGTCTCCACTTCCCTTCTGCTCACCAAGATACACCTCAGGTATATGACTAAAGCTTTTGGATCCACGAAGATTTTGGAATGAGACTCACAGCACAAGGTTGTCAATTTCTAGTGTAGATCCTTATTTAGTTGAAGAGGGTAGATAAATCCTGTGTTGAAAGCTACTGGACTTCTGCCTCCATTGCCATAGTAGGATGGCTTTCTTAGTAGTTGTGGTTTTAACTCAATAGTGCTAACCTTTTGGGTAGGCCAGAGACATTCTGAGACCATGTGTTCCAGCCTTTTCTTCCCATATGTGATGGGACGTGGCTTTTATCACATGACTTTCATTTCATAATTCTCCCTATCACAGGACGTATAATGGCTGTATAATGGGTATTTATTTGGTCAGGTGATGACAGAGACTGGAGGGAAAAATGGCAAGGAGGATGCTGTAAGACTACACCGCTAATTTAACTTTTTCATGTCTACTTCTAATAGTTTTTGTTGTGGTCCTTCCTGTTCAGAAAGGAAAAATCTATGTAATGTAGTATAGATTTTGTCAGCATTACTTCTGGAGAGAAAGTTTTGGAAGAATCTATACTTGATCTGGCCCAAACACACTGAGCCATGGGGTCTCGAGTAACCAAAGAGCTACTATG